TTAGCACTAGACACATGGACCTAGTGGGATAAATGACCATTGTGTTAGCACTAGACACATGAACATAGTGGGATAAATGACCAGTGTATTAGCACTAGAAACATGGATGTAGTGGGATAAATGACCATTGTATTAGCACTAGAAACATGAACATAGTGGGATAAATGACCATTGTATTAGCACTAGACACATGAACATAGTGGGACCAAAGCACTGAACATGGACATAGTGGGATAAATGACCATTGTATTAGCACTAGAACTAGACACATGAACATAGTGGGATAAATGACCAGTGTATTAGCACTAGAAACATGAACATAGTGGGATAAATGACCAGTGTATTAGCACTAGAAACATGAACATAGTGGGATAAATGACCATTGTATTAGCACTAGAAACATGAACATAGTGGGATAAATGACCATTGTATTAGCACTAGACACATGGACCTAGTGGGATAAATGACCAGTGTATTAGCACTAGACACATGAACATAGTGGGATAAATGACCATTGTGTTAGCGCTAGACACATGAACATAGTGGGAAAAATGACCAGTGTATTAGCACTAGACACATGGACCTAGTGGGATAAATGACCAGTGTGTTAGCACTAGACACATGGACCTAGTGGGATAAATGACCATTGTATTAGCACTAGACACATGAACATAGTGGGATAAATGACCACTGTGTTAGCACTAGACACATGTACCTAGTGGGATAAATGACCACTGTGTTAGCACTAGAAACATGTACATAGTGGGATAAATGACCATTGTGTTAGCGCTAGACACATGAACATAGTGGGAAAAATTACCTTTGTGACAATGACATTAGCACTGGAAACATTGGATAATGGGATGAATGACGTGTATGACAAGGATGTCAGCACTGGAAACATCATATGAGAGATGAATGACCTTTATGACAAAGATGTTAGCACTGGGAACATCATATAAGAGATGAATGACCTTTATGACAAGGATGTTAGCACTGGAAATGTCAGATAATGGGATGAATGACCTTTTTGACAAGGATGTTAGCACTGGAAACATCATATGAGAGATGAATGACCTTTATGACAAGGATGTTAGCACTGGAAACATCATATGAGAGATGAATGACCTTTATGACAAGGATGTTAGCACTGGGAACATCATATAAGAGATGAATGACCTTTATGACAAGGATGTCAGCACTGAAAACATCAGATAATGGGATGAATGACCTTTTCGACAAGGATGTCACCAACCAAGGGCTGTACAAATATGAGTTTATGATGATATGCTATGTGAATGTAAAAATTTGAACTTAATTAGTGATACCTAGATGTAAACACAAATCCCTGTGGCATAAAGAACATCGAAACTTACCTCCCCAGAATCTCGGGGTGTGGCAACCAACACTGGGGGATCCAGTGACTTGACCACTTCAGAGAATGGTACACTTGGCCCAAGCAATGCTGGAAGACAGAATAAATGTGTTATAGTTCACTGAATAAAAGATGGAAATAGAGCAAGGGGAAGGCAAAGAGATAAATACCTGGATGGCTTGGTCAGATAGATGGCTGTAAAACAAGGACACTGACTTGATCCCTGATTTATGTGATCATGTGAGATAGTGAAACATGACAGTCTATGCTTATCATTGCAACAGACGATGATGATTAGTTCAGTGAAGCTACAAATTCTATTTCACCCAAGTCTAATATAAGTCATTTTCAAATCACAGCCTCATTTTCATATCATAGTCTCATTTTCATATCATAGCCTCATTTTCAAATCACAGCCTCATTTTCATATCATAGCCTCATGATATGTGGGCACTTATTCCTTTGTGTGTAGCTTTTCTTTGATTTCACTTCCATATCAGATTGACTGGTTTCTTCCACAACCCAGAAGGTCAATGGGGCACCCCTTATCTCCATTGAGATAATAAAGAAGGGCTTTACACTGTCAGCATCTGTGGCTTAGGAGCTGAGAATGCGCTTTGTAATGCCGGGGTACCGGGTTTGATCCCAGCTATAGGCAATTTAGCAGCAAACCGCTTGAGTTGGTTTAGACAGTGGTATCAAGATCTGACCATTCAGAAAGCAATGGCAAACTACTGAAAGTAAATTTGTCTCCAAAAATCGCAACAGTTAAAAATTGCTGGGGTTGGTTCTGCAACATACTGTAAAGAATACATAAACTTTTTTTTAAAATACATACTGGAGCCCACAGGGGCACAGAAATGAAGAAAGACAAAAAAACTCACACAGAAGGAAACTAGAGAGTAAAGTTAAAAAGATGGGAAGGATATGAGGTGAGCTCCATTTGACAGCAAAGGATAGGATGACCTGGTGTGTGTTGGTTTAGGGTCTATGTTCCATGAGAGGACAGAAGAAGAAGAAGTGGTCACAAAGGCCTACTGTGAATAATTTACAGTTGCCAACAGATTTTAAGCAATCCTAACAGAGTCACTGAACTTTCTTATTTTCACCCTTATCTCAGAAGAGGATGCGCTAAGTACACATCCTAGAGATTGGGGGAACTGGGATATTATTGCGCTTTAAAAAAAATTAATTATTATTATAATAAATAAAGTCTGCCTTAAATCTAGTCTCATGACCCCCCGAGTGTTGAATGTCGGCCAGATCCCCTTGTAACTCCTCGCAGTGCCATTCTCCTCAGACCATAATGATCTATCTGTTCCTCTGCACTGTTCACTCGCTCCCAAAGGGCCCTCACAACATCCAGCTTGTTATACATCAGTTCACCACCAAGTGGTGCAGAACAGACCACTCTATCTGCCTGCTCATTTCCCAACACACCGGCGTGCCCTAGAGAAAATATCCAAAGGATGCTAACAACCCGGGACCTCTAAAGTGATGCTTGCCACTCTGCATGGAGCATGCCTATCTCCACCTTTCTCACATACAAGATGATGTCCCTACAAGCATACAGTTTGGAGCAGACACTGATAATAATTTTAACCTTATACTTTCTGAGCTAAAGGTAGATGTCTCATCCCTTCTTCTTATTTTTTTCTGCCTTTTTACCCTTTCACCCGAGATCATCATCATCATCATGTAGCATGTCCTTTGCAGAACCTCGCTCTTATCACGGTCTGCCTGAAAGAAACTCAGTCTCTCGCCAGTTCTCCCGCCTCATGCACTTTCATACTTAAGGAGTCACTTATATCCTGTGCCCATCTTTGTGCTGGTCGGCCCCTGTCCCTCCTTCCTGGTACCATGCCTTCTGCTACAATTTTGTCCAATCCGTCGTGGCACTTGATATGACCAAAATATTTCAGCTTCCGAGACAGGGTGCTGTTTACTAGCCAATCCTCTATGTCATTTAAATCTTTCAAGATGTCAGTATTTCTCCTCTTTTTCGACCAAGATATTCTGAGAATCTTTCTATAGCATTTTTACCCCAGATACTACCATATACACAAAAATGGGTCCCAACGCTATTAGAATTCTTTAAAAAAAATTCCTTAAAAACAGATTTTGTTGTTGTTGTGAATCTGAGACTAGTCCTAATAAATTAATTAAAAATTCATTAACCTACATTTAAGCAAATTCTTTTTCTTGAAATATATAAAGATATATATTCTCAATTAAACACGAACAGAGTGAACATGTACATGAAACACATTTCTACAAGCCTAAAAAACATGTATCTAGTGACCCATTCCATGACCTTGTGACCTCTATTACTGAGGTTTACAGAAACATTTCACAACAACTTGGTGTTAATAGAACTGTTTGGTTTGAAGGGGAAAAAACCTAAATGCTATTTTTAGTTAATGTGTTTATATCTTGATCTCCTAAAGATTTGCACTGGCACAGAAACAGCCACTGGCATTAACTATGTGTCTTGTAAACAGGTCACTATAGACAGGTCAGAAAAGTGATATTTATGGGGAACTGGACTCAAAATATGTGTTGGTTTTTATGGTTTCTCTGAGAGAAAGGGTTAACTCTCTCAAAGGTACATAGGCTCTAAAATCAATTCATAGATGGCTTTTGCAGCTAAAGCCTAATCCTACCCTTAGTTGCCTTTTACAACATGCTCCGTACAGTGCCGTGTTAAGATTCTTAGCTTCACCCAAAGGCCAGGTAATAGCCCATGGGTGATGTCAAACTTTGAAGTCACACCAACCATCTGTGATAAAAGAATGAAAAAGACAACTTACTGTGCTTGGCCCTGACTGCACAGCCGAAGCAAGCTGAGTTTGGGACATCTTTCACGTAAACTGGTGAGTTAAATACGTCTGACAGAACCTGTGAACACAAGATAAGATTTCATACAAGATTTAATGTAATTCATACCAGCCAACACACAGTCAAAACATGCTGGATTTGGGACATTTTTCACATTAACTGGTGTGTCAAATACATCTGATAGAACCTGTAATCATCAAATGAGATTTCAGACAAGATTTAATGTCATACACACTTGTTTGAAAGCCTAAAGATTTAGAGCTCAAATCCACATTGAGGCCAATTTTTATTTTCAAAACTGTGGCTCCAGTGTCAACCCAGCCTAAAATGGGCATCAAGCAACGTCCTGGAAAGTACAAGTGGCCCAGGTGATAATCATATCACCCCCTGAGTGACAGATGATCTATACAATAGAGGTCTAGCAGATTCGATAAGCAGGTCACCTCATTTGTTTGACAGACACCATCAGCTCCCAATAATAATCTTTCACGGAGAGATACAAGAAGGCAGACGCTGTCATTGTGGCCAGGAAAACAAAAACACTTCACAAACATGCTAATGGCACCACTTAAAGCCTTAAATATAAACCCTGACACTTTGGAGGCTGCTGCACAAGACCATACTGTATGGCGAATGACAATCTGAAGAGGTGCACTGACTTGTGAGGCTTCTAGAAAAATGGCAGCTGAACAGCAAATACAAGCTAGAAAGACCCGTATAACAGGCCCTCTATCTACAGACATTGTTCCCTGACCCCTGCCCTACATCCTTCCAGGCCCGCCCAGGGCTCATAAGTCATCTCCAGACTTGCAGACAATCAACTGCAGTTTCCTGACCGATGAAAGGAAGATTGGTCGTCATCACTTGTGATGGACTAACATAACAACACTGGTCTAGCACTATATGCTGGATTTGCTAAAGGCATGAAAAAGATCCTTCGTCTTCTTATTTTGTCATCTCACTGATACCAGGTTGTACCCTCGTGTCATGGTTTCCTGCATGTATTTTGCATTTCTCAGGTGGCCTGGGTGATGGATTTGTTCATCTTATTGCAGGTTTCAGTTACACCATTTATCCGTATCTTTCTTCATCTTACTGTCGCATTCCTCACAGATGTTTTGCTGCAAAAGTCTCACATTGTTTGGATCCTTTTCTGACTTTGTTGTAATATTATGACAGATACTGTCAATTGGATGTTTGGGCCTACATATATTCTAGGAGATGGCATATGGACTTAGTGGCCAGTTCTTTTCCTCTAAAGCAATTATCCGACAGCCAGCTCAGTTTACGAATCTAGGTCCATCACAGAGTTGTGCTGCTTGAAGCTGGTTGAGAAGGGGAAGAAAAATAACAAAGTAGAAGAATAACAAAGACAAGAAGATGAAGGAGGAGGAGAAACAGGAAAGAAAGAAATAATAACAAATAGTTCTTAATGTAATGGACAAGAAAACACACACTATATTGTAACAATGAATACTAACATAAACTACATACAAACAGCTATATGAATAAGCATGTAAAATATCTACTGTAGCAATCAAAATAGCATAGACTATGTTAACTATCTGAAGAGTCACAGACTCTCCACTTACCTGTAAAATATCTACATTCTTAGAGCCTCCCCCAGTTGCTATAACTTTGGTACCTCGGCCTGGAGAACAAAGACATCATTTGGTTATACATGAGCTTCATAAGTGAGTGAGTGAATGAGTGAGTGAGTTAATGATTGAGTGAGTGAGTCAAGTCAGTGAGTGAGTGGGTGGGTGGGTGGGTGAGTGAGTGAGTGAGTGAGTGGGTGAGTGAGTGAGTGAGTGAGTGAGTGGGTGGGTGAATGAGTGAGTGAGTGAGTGAGTGTGTAAGTGAGTGAGAGAGTGAGGGAGAGAGTTAGTGAGTGAGTAGAGTGAATGAGTGAGTGAGTGTATAAGTGCATAAGTGAGTGAGTGAGTGTGTAAGTGAGTGAGTGAGTGTGTAAGTGAGAGTGTAAGTGAGTGAGTGAGTGTGTAAGTGAGTGAGTAGGTAAGTAAGTGAGTGAGAGAGTGAGTGAGTGTGTGAGTGAGTGAGTGGAGTGAGTGAGTGAGTGAGTGAGTGAGTGAGTGAGTGAGTGAGTGAGTGAGTGAGTGAGTGAGTGAGTGAGTGAGTGAGTGAGTGAGTGAGTGAGTGAGTGAGTGAGTGAGTGAGTGAGTGAGTGAGTGTGTAAGTGAGTGAGAGAATAAGTGAGTGAGAGAGTGAGGGAGAGAGTTAGTGAGTGAGTGGAGTGAATGAGTGAGTGAGTGTATAAGTGCATAAGTGAGTGAGTGAGTGTGTAAATGAGTGAGTGAGTCAGTGAAAGAGTGAGTGTGTAAGTGAGTGAGTGAGTGTGTAAGTGAAAGTGTAAGTGAGTGAGTGAGTGTGTAAGTGAGTGAGTAGGTAAGTAAGTGAGTGAGAGAGTGAGTGAGTGTGTGAGTGAGTGAGTGGAGTGAGTGAGTGAGTGAGTGTGTAAGTGAGTGAGTGAGTGAGTGAGTGAGTGAGTGAGTGAGTGAGTGAGTGAGTGAGTGAGTGAGTGTGTAAGTGAGTGAGTGAGTAAGTGAGTGAGTGAGAGAGTAGATGGAGAAAAGTATGTATAGGGGGGAGACAGTAGACAGAATAAACAGACAGGAGGAGTGAAAGAGCTGAGAGAGATTATAGAGAGCAAAGGAAACATAACAGAGACAGAGAGCAAGGGTGAGAGAAATACGGAGAAACTGTGACAAGGAGAGAAGAAAGAGTGAGAGGGAGCTTAAAAAGAAGGTGGGCATTGCAAAAGACATCAGAGAAGAAAGGAAGAGAAAAACAATAGTCAGAAGGAAAGAAAAATGACCACAGAAAGAAGAGATAAGGAATAGAAAGGTACATCGGCAATTTGAGAGAAGAGAAAGACATACAGGATTATCTCCACATGTGTTTGAGACTCCATTCTGGAGAATAAAGAACAGACCAAACCCTCTCCCCTCCCCAGAAACATGTCATAGGAGGTGACTAATTAGTCGTATTTCCTCAAACATCAAAGCCCATCTGCTTCCTGATAGGCAAGGAACGAACAGTCTGCATACAAATAAGCCAGATCTGTAAAACAGATGTACATGCAAAACTCAACCTGAAACTAAAGTCCAGCAGTGAAAAAACATCCAGAACTTTCTGATAAAGATAACAACCGGTGAACACGGTAAAAAAGAAGAAGAAGAAGAGGAGGAGGAGGGGACGGAGGAGAAGACGGAGGAGGAGGAGGAAGAGCAAGAGCAAGAACAAGAGCAAGAGGAAGAAGAAGAAGAAGAGGAGGAGAATGAGGAAGAAGAAAAAGGAGAAGAAGAAGATGGAGGAGAAGAAAAAGAAGAAGAGAAGAAGAAGAAGAAGAAAACAAAAAGAAGAAGAAAGAGAAGATAAAAAGAAAACAGAAATACAGAATATGTAAGAGGTAAGGAGAAAGACAGTAACAAAGAAAATCTGAATAAGGAACAAAATCCACCTACCAAACTGGAATCCAACCATCTCAGAATGCACACGTCTTGCTATAAACTGTCCCTCTAGTACAGCCCTGACCTCCACCTCAGGCGGAAAGGAATCAACCTTCACAGAAAACAGAAAGTGTGTTAGAAACAAGGAATCAACCTTCACAGAAAACAGAAAATGTGTTAGAAACAGGGAATTAACCTACCAGAAAGTGTGTTAGAAACAGGAAATCAACTTTCACAGAAAACAGAAAGTGTGTTAGAAACAAGGAATCAACCTTCACAGAAAAAAGAAAGTGTGTTAAAAACAAAGAATCAACCTTCACAGAAAACAGAAAGTGTGTTAGAAACAAGGAATCAACCTTCACAGAAAACAGAAAGTGTGTTAGAAACAAAGAATCAACCTTCACAGAAAACAGAAAGTGTGTTAGAAACAAGGAATCAACCTTCAGAGAAAACAGAAAGTGTGTTAGAAACATGGAATTAACCTTCACAGAAAACAGAAAGTGTGTTAGAAACAAAGAATCAACCTTCACAGAAAACAGAAAGTGTGTTAGGAAATCAACCTTTACAGAAAACAGAAAATGTGTTAGAAACCAGGAATCAATCTTCACAGAAAACAGAAAATATGTCAAAAAAACTCCTTCTTCTCTCCTTATCATAGTTTCTCTGTGAGTCATGATCTCAAACTGTCTAACATCTTCTCTCCTGTCTTCCCAGCGTCTCTCTTCTCCTCAAACATGTCTTTTTTCATAACATACTTCAGTTTTCTCTTTCTCACATATCTGTATATGATTGTTTCAGGGCTTTTCTTGCAGTATACAAGAGTACGCACTATCAGGACCTTGTTTTAAGCATCTTTGTTTTGTTTACATCGCTGTTGTAATATACACTTTGTGGTGTGTACTGGCACCATTTTTCCAGAAAGCCCCGACTGTTTTACATTTATTTTCTTGAAGTATGTGAACTAAAGCAGACAACAGTAATCCTTACCCTTGAATCTTTTCATCTGCTACAGAAATGTCCTTGATTTTGTTTATGTTATCTGTTTACCTGCTTTTTAAGCTTTCCAGATATATCTTTCTATATCTTCCTTTACTTTTCTTCTTTAACAGTTTCCCATGCAAAGCTGATTTCTCTACTTTACATATTTTTGTCTTTATGTTTATTTATAGGCACAGAATTCCGGTCCAATATGGAGGACTGGGCATGGCAGAATGTTTAGCTTTGAAGTTTTTGTGTGCTTCTGACAGCACTTTGCTAATGCAGTTTCCACATATGATGGAAGTCTACGGTTTCGTTGCCTGAGCTACTGAGTTTGGTGCTTAATGCAGCACTGTGAGCTGTGTTTTTAATGTAGAATGCCTTTCAGTTGTGCAGCCATTGAGTTGTGGTATTCAAATGGCAAGTAGCTGGTTTCCGTGTGGGCTGGTGAAATATAATTTTATCTGTGTATAGCCAACTTATTGTGCCCAACTACATCCATTAACGACAAACAGCATTTCTGGAGGTGATTGTTGGCTTTGGCACCTCTAGCAACTAACATTGGCATTTACTGCGTGCGCATATTTCTGGACTGTGCCGGGACTAACTGTATTTTCACCAGTTTTTCAAATGGGTCAGTGAGACATTTCATTTGATTTTCACTGGCACAGGAACGGAGCAAGTTAGGGGTGACCCGACTGCAATGAAGTTGAAACCTTGACTAAGACTTATTTATCGACACACTACAGGTGTTCAACTCTGACTACATCTACCATCTTCTTCCCAGCGGTGCAATGTTTTCACTTAGTCATGTTTCTGTAAAGAAGATACTTTTTTTTTTCATTTTCAAGTAACAGGTTGCCAACTACTTGCTGATTACCCATAAACTAACAACTTTCGCCAAGCAAGATCACAAATGAAGAACTGAGGAACGAAGGAAAACAAAATGTTTATCACTGGCAAAGGTTAAGAAGGAAAGAAGATGGAGATGGCTTGGATATGTCTGTAGAATGCCTTGTAACATTTTGGCGAGGACACTTCCTCGATCGATGACAGATGGGGTTGTATAAAATAATAAAAAAATTGATTAATACTAACATACATAAGCAATTAGATTTTACCCTAGGTCAGGGTTATTCACTGTCGGCCCGCAGGCCAAATCTGGCCCGTGGAGGTCTAGCAAATGGCCCACAAATCACTGCCAGTTGTACTGTATCAATGTTCTTTCTATTCTAGAGCTCAGATCTCTGGCATTTGACAATTCCCATTTGCCAAATTTGGCCCCTTAGTTAGATAGCCCTGCCTTTGACGTAAGTTACCTAATGATCTGGTTACTAAATGCAGTTGACAACCAGTCACTTTAGAAAAAAGAAAGAAAAAAAACAGAGTGAATGACAACAAAACAAACAATATTTACTGTGTAGGCAGTGACATTTACCTCCTCATCCTGTTCATTGTATCTATAAACACCATCAGCAAATGGTTGGATCTCTTTGACGTCGAAGTAGACACCTGAAATAATGGTAAACTTGACGTGGTTATCACAATTTTCCCTACAACAAAGAACAATAAAGAAATTCAATTGTCTCTGTGTCTTCTTCTTCTTCTCTTTAATCTCACAGTGCAGCATAACATAATGAAACAAAGAGCAATTTAAAAATTGTATGGGTGACCTGAATGCTAAGATAGGATCAGATAACACAGGTTATGAAGAAATTATGCGAAGACATTGTCTAGAAGTAATGTATGAAAATGGAAAATTATTCACAAATCTGTGTGCAGGAAACCAGTATGTTATTGGTGGAAGTATTTTTCCCCATAAAAGAATACACAAGGCAATATGGGAATCACCTGACCATAAGTCAACCAATCAAATTGATCACCTATGTATTAACAAAAAGTTTAGATCATCCCTTAACGATGTTAGGGCTTCTGAGGTGCCGATGTATTTACTGACCATTTTCTGGTGGTAAGTAAAATCAAGCTGAAACTTGAAAGATATATAACATCTTATAACCACAGAAACCAGTATAATGTAGGGATCTCAGGGATACAGAAGTTAAGGAACAATTTTCATTAACAGTCTCTAATAAGTACCAGGTGTTGCAGCAGTTTAGCTGAAGATGTCAGCACTGAAGTCTGCTGGGATCAGATCAAGGGAATCTGGAATAAATCTTGTGTAAAAGTACTTGGCAAGAAGGAACAGAAACATAAAGCGTGGATAACACCAGAAACCATTAAATTGAATGAAAAAATTAAAAGTAAAAAAGCAGACTTAAACAATAGAAAAACTAGAGCTGCTAAAGCTAGAGCTCAGGAGAAATACTCAGAAGCCAATAAGGAAGTTAGGAGGTGTATAAGGGCAGATAAAGTGAAATATCTAAATGATCTAGCACAAGAAGCGGAGTAAGCAGCAGCAAAAGGAAACCTTAAAGAACTTTACAGTTACATAAGAAAATTAGTAGGTAAATATAGTCAGACAACTGGATCAATCAAAAATAGTCAAGGAAAGGTACCTACTAAAACTAAAGATCAAATGGACAGATGGGTTGAATATTTTAAAATGCTTTTAAATAGACCAGGCCCAAAGGTTCCCCCAGATATCCAGCCTTTAGAAATGGAACTGGATATCAACTGTGAGATAGCATCTAAAGAGGAAATTAAAAAAAGCTATCAATCTTTTCAAGGATGGAAAGGCGGCAGGTCCAGATGATATCCCAGCATAAGCCATTAGGGCCAACATAAACACCTCAACAGAAGTACAACATATATTATTCAGTAAAGTCTGGGAGACCGAAGAAATACCAGCAGACTGGAGAGAAGGATATCTCGTGAAACTGCTGAAAAAATGTGATTTACAGGAGTGTGAAAACTATATAGGAATTATGTTGCTGTCAGTTCCTGGAAAAATATTAAAATCGAATTATATTGGAAAGATTGAAAGAAGGCAGGTTTTCGGCTAAACAGATCCTGTACTACCTGATAGCCACAGTATGTATTATAATAGAGAAAAGTATTGAACTGAACTCATCACTTTACATTGTATTTATTACTTTGAAAAAAGCATTTGACAGCATTAATAGGGAATCTCTCTGGAAATTGATAGGGCACCATGGAATTCCACAAAAAATTATTAACTTAGTAAAGGGATCATCTAAAGAAATGAAATTTTGAGTTCTTCATGAGGGAAAGCTAACAGATACATTTGAAATAAAAACAGGTGTGCGACAGGGATGTGTTTTATCGCCTCGCCTATTTTTTACTGGCTATAGATCGGATAATAAAGACAGTAAGAATGGAATTCAATGGACCTCTACAAAACAGCTTGATGATCTGGACTTCGCTGATGATATTTCTCTTCTGTCCCATTCACGGAATCAGATGTAAGATAAATTAAATATACTTGATGAGAGATCACAGCAGCTTGGTGTGAAAATCCATAAAAGAAAGACAAAGATAATGAGAATAATATCACGCAATTAGTAATGTGGTTTCTCTTAATGGCACCCCACTCTGAGACGTGGAGTCGTACACCTTTTTGGGCAGTAATGTAGATACAGATGGAGGAACTGATAGAGATATTAAAATAAGAATACAAAAGGCAAGAGGAGTTTTCATAGCACTAGGAAATTTGTGGAGGTCAAAAGAAATAAAAGAAATACTAAACTTAAAATTGTTAATTCTAATGTCAAATCAGTACTTTTGTATGGGGCGGAAACATGGAGAACAACTAAGGCAATTACTAATAAATTACAGACATTCATCAACTGGTGCCTGCGCAGAATAGAGGGAATTAAATGGTATGATAGAATAACTAATCTAGAGCTTTGGGAGTGAACTGAACAGGCTTTAGAGGACCAAGAAGTGAGGAAAAGATGCTGGTGTTAGACAGGACACAAAATAAGAAAAAAGGAGATCAGCATAACTATAATGTCTTTGCATTGGAACCCAAAAGGAAGGCCAAAGATTACATGGAGAAGACAGCATGGGGAGGACATGGGGATAGCTCCATGTAATAGTGAAGGATAGAACCACTTGGTGTGAGTTGGTTGAGGGCCTATGCTCCATTGGGGGATAGAAAGGCAGAAGAAGAAAAACAAGCAGCATAACCCCTCAATCAACTCACGCCAAGTCATCCTATCCTTTGCTATCGCATGCCGCTTACCCCATCTTTTTAACTTTAATCTTTACTTCCCTTCTCTGCAGTTTTTTTTGTCTACCTTTATTTTTAAGCTCTTGTGGATTTCAGTTTAATGCCCTTCTAGTCATATTTTTCTCAGGCTTTCTCAGTGTGTGTCCTATCCAACACCAGCATTTTTTCCTCACCTCTTGATTGACTGGAATTTGTTTAAGTCTCTTCTAAAGCTCAACATTAGTGTCTCTGTGTTCACATGTGTATATGCAATGCACTCTTTCATTCGCACAGACCCCTTCAATGTTTCCTGTCACTGTTTAGCTATGTATTTGTACCAAAATGTGTAAGCCACTAACCAAAGTTGCCATTGTTGCCTGGCGGAGTCTTCTTCAGTAGCTCACTGAACACTTCCCATGAACCTTCTGCTTTTTCATCCCTGATCCGCTCTCTGGTCAAGGAACCATTCTTGAAACTGGAGACACAACGTTGTAATAGAGTATAAACAATGCATGCCCAAAGAAATCATCTAAACAATACAAATGATCTCAACAATTCAAATGATCTCAACAATACAAATGATCTCAACAATACATATGATCTCAACAATTCAAATGATCTCAACAATACAAATGATCTCAACAATACAAATGATCTCAACAATACAAATGATCTCAACAATACAAATGATCTCAACAATACAAATGATCTCAACAATACAAATGATCTCAACAATACAAATGATCTCAACAATACAAATGATCTCAACAATACAAATGATCTCAACAATACAAATGATCTCAACAATACAAATGATCTCAACAATACAAATGATCTCAACAATACACATGATCTCAACAATACACATGATCTCAACAATACAAATGATCTCAACAATACACATGATCTCAACAATACACATGATCTCAACAATACACATGATCTCAACAATACAAATGATCTCAACAATACAAATGATCTCAACAATACAAATGATCTCAACAATACAAATGATCTCAACAATACAAATGATCTCAACAATACAAATGATCTCAACAATACAAATGATCTCAACAATACACATGATCTCAACAATACAAATGATCTCAACAATACAAATGATCTAAACAATACAAATGATCTCAACAATACAAATGATCTCAACAATACAAATGATCTCAACAATACACATGATCTCAACAATACAAATGATCTCAACAATACAAATGATCTAAACAATACAAATGATCGCAACAATACAAATGATTTCAACAATTCAAATGATCTCAACAATTCAAATGATCTCAACAATTCAAATGATCTCAACAATTCAAATGATCTCAACAATACAAATGATCTCAACAATACAAATCTTCTTCTTCTTCGCGTTTACCAGCTCTACACTCTGGCGGAAAGTTCTGGTTGCTCGTCCACTACTGAACTGCAGTCCTGCTCCAGAACCTGAGTGTTGCGTGTGCATCAGTTTTACAGATCTTATTTTCTTAAATACAGACTGTTGGTTCCTTGCCTCTCCGGCAGATGCACTCTGACTTCAAAGGAAGCTCCCCAATCAGGTGACTCTTACGACATGCTTTTGGGGAAGCAGTGGGTCTATTCTTGTTTTCCCCACAATGGGGCTCCGGAACCCACATGGGGGACAATACAAATGATACAACACATTTTCTTTTTAATTTATTCTACTTGTTCTTCCTCTTCAATCTCATAACCACACAGATGAGTAACTGTGGTGCCACAAAACTGCCAATTAATGCCTTTAACATTTCTGCAATGTAGTCAGGTAGGTCTGTGAGCCTGTGGACTGGTGGCTGCATCGCTAGTGCTGTCACCACACATTAGGAGTTTATTTTTGCCCCAACCCCAAAAACGTTTTTTTTTTTTAATCCACAATCTTAAAGACGATTTGAACTGGGTCTTCTGCATGAGAGCCAGATGTTCTTAACCGTTTAACCAGCCGCTCATCTGGGGGTAAAAGTAAAGATCTCTTTCCACGCCTATAGGCACATTGGGCATGATGGAACAGCACCCATTATTCTACTCAGATTTCGAAGGAAACATTCCTAACAAGTCGTCTTTTATGACATGCTTGTTGGAGTCTGTGGGTATCTTCTCCTAACACCCTCCCCCAATGGGACCCAAGAAGCCATACATGAAAGAGCAATTTGTTTTTATTTATTCACTGAAGGAATGCATTTTTTTAAAGAAAGGCAATCACTAGATCTAGCCTGGTGGACAACAAACGCTGGGATAAAGTCAGATGCATCAGTTGTAGCAATAACAGCTGGAAGACATAGCAGCAGCTGCAGAAGAAGAAAACAAAGATGGATGCTTTCTTAATTTCCTACCCCAAACAGGAGAAATCCACAGGTCACGGGACAGTCTAATATTTCAAGGGGTGGTAGATAGGCTGCATGCAGTCGTGGGACCTAGGCTGCAAGCAGTCGTGGGACTTAGGCTACACTCTCTCGTTTCTTCTTACCTCTTACATATTCTGTATTTTTGTTTTTTTTTAATCTTCTCTTTCTTCTTCTTTTTTTTTCTTCTTCTTCTTCTTCTTCTCTTCTTCTTTTTCTTCTCCTCCATCTTCTTCTTCTCCTTTTTCTTCTTCCTCCTCCTCTTCTTCTTCTTCCTCTTGCTCTTGATCTTGCTCTTCCTCCTCCTCCTCCGTCTTCTCCTTCTCCGTCCCCTCCTCCTCTTCTTCTTCTTTGCCGTGTTCACCGGTTGTTATCTTTATCAGAAAGTTCTGGATGTTTTTTCACTGCTGGACTTTAGTTTCAGGTTGAGTTTTGCATGCACATCTGTTTTACAGATCTGGCTTATTTGTATGCAGACTGTTTGTTCCTTGCCTATCAGGAAGCAGATGCGCTTTGATGTTTAAGGAAATACGACTAATTAGTCACCTCCTATGACATGTTTCTGGGGAGGGGAGAGGGTTTGGTCTGTTCTTTATTCTCCAGAATTGAGTCTCAAACACATGTGGAGATAATCCTGTATGTCTTTCTCTTCTCTCAAATTGCCGATTTACCTTTCTATTCCTTATCTCTTCTTTCTGTGGTCATTTTTCTTTCCTTCTGACTATTGTTTTTCTCTTCCTTTCTTCTCTGATTTCAGGAGGTGGTAGACAGGCTGCATGCAGTCGTGGGAATAAGGCTGCATGCAGTCGTGGGATCTAGGCTGCACTCTCTCAAAGGACGTAGGTGGGTTGGGGTTAGGGCCAGTTCTAGATGTTTTGGGGTTGTTAACAGTATTAGACAGCCGGGAAACCCAGTCTTACCACCCTCTAAAATGTTGGACTGTCCTGTGACGTCATCTGCGTTAGGATATTATAAAAGAACCCAAATAGGAACAAGGAGGAGAAGGATGACCGGCAGAATAAGTAAATGAAAACAAAGGAAAGGAAGAAGAAGAAGAAGAAAAAGAAAATGCAAAAGAGAAAGAAGAAAGGTGAGGGTAGCAGAGAAGGAAGAGGCAAAGAAAAATAATTAGCATCATTCATGGCAAACTTTAGAAGAAACACGCAAGCACACATAGACACACATAAAACCTACCAGGTCAGTGAAATGAAGTCATCTCTGTTGAGAGGATTGGCAAAAATATGACCAGACAGGCCAGGGGTGGGTTTAGTCAACCACAGGAACACAGTATCACTGGTGCCTAGGCTAACCTGCAGGATGTAATTTGGTGAGTAAATTCATATCTTTATTGTTTCTTGATTTGAGAGAGACAGAGAGAGAGAGAGAGAGAGAGAGAGAGAGAGAGAGACAGAGAGAGAGAGAGAGAGGGGGAGAGAGAGAGAGAGAGAGAGAGAGAGAAAGAAAGAGAGAGATATGCATGTGTTTTGTTCGCCATTATTCTTAAGATTGCTCAGCTTTCTTCATAAGTCTGCTGGCAACATTTCTTCTTCTTTTTCTTCTCCTTCTTTTTTCTTCTTCTTCTTCTTTTTCTTCTTCTTTTTCTTCTCCTTCTTCTTTTTCTTCTTCTTTTTCTTCTTCTTCTTCTTTGTCTTCTTCTTCTCTTTATCCCGCCAGATGGAGCACAGGCCCTCAAACAACTCATGCCAAGTAATTCTTTCCATTTGCTATCAAATGCAGCTCTTCCCAACTTATGGCCTTTTTCAACGCACTCTTTTCCCACCACTGGTGCACTAAGCAAATGGTGTTAAAACCCATATTTGTATAAACTAATTGAGCAGATGGTGTTAAAACTCATATTTTTTATAAGACTACATTGAGCAGATGGTGTTGAAACTCATATTTTTATAGACTACACTGAGCCAAAGGTATCAAAACTCAAATTCTTTTCTAGGCCAATCAGAATCTGAAGGGTGAGGTGGTCAAGATCACTGCGTGCTTTTTACTTGCCAGGACATCTCCTGGTAGCCGGTTTAGGCTGGGTTGACCAGCGAGCCGAGGTCTATTATTCTGCCAGATGCAGATTCAAACCCGAGACATTCAAGCCAATAAGCAAGCTATCACAGGCCAAACTGACAGTACACTGTGCAGCAAATCATATCACAGGCCAAACTGACAGTACACTGTGCAGCAAATCATAACAGACATTGACACAAACAACAGACTGAACAATTTACTGCCTGTGTCTCCTCAGGTGAATACTAGAGTAAGAATTAATTAAAATAAAGCCAATAAATTAATCCTTTTATTGCAAACACACACAAATTGACTTTTCAAAAGTAATTGTAAGTTTCACCAAGGCAATTGCAAGATGATGACCATGTCCTTTTGTCTGCATAATTGACTCACTGTCACTGCTTTCATGTATATCAACAGTCCGTGGTTAACTGAGGCACACAGTAAACAAAAACAATGCATTTCAAATTCTGCATACCTCAGCTAACTACAGACTACTGAAATAGAGGGAAACAATGACAATAAACCCGTTGAGTCAAGAATTATGCAGACAAAAGGACATGGTCACCAGCTTGTGAATTTCCTGGTGAAACAGTTACTTTTGAATGTAGCTGATTTTGTGTTTTAGTTAAAAGGATTCATTTATTTGTTTCATTTTAATCAATTGTTACTTTAGAATGCCTATGAGGAGATACAGCCAAATATGTCAGGCATTAAACTGTGCAATCTACTGTATGTGTCTTCTTTGTTCAAAGAAAGAAATATACTTGTATGCTTAGAAATACAATGGTGAAGAGTGAGAAAAATATATGATGATAATATGAGAAAAATTACGGTAATTACGTAAATAGAATACTCACAATGACATCCCCTTTTTCAGGTGACAAACCAGCAAAGGAAGCTGAATGGAAAGAAATAAGATGAACATAATCAGAAACATTCTCAACCACATACTTATTCTATTCTTCACCTTTGTCCTCTTCATTTTCTTTTTCTATTTGTACCGTTCACTTTCATATTAACTGAGTCTTTTGGTTGCTATGGTTTGGTTATTCATATTAACCCTATGCAGATTTGTTTGGGTCGGCTGGATTTTGTAGCTAAAGTCTTCAATGGAATAAGTCAACCAGTTCCCCCACCTGGGTGCAACTAAAGGGTCTGGCCGGCTCACTACATTCAGAGGAAAGGCATGACAGACATAAAACCAGATTGTGACCGTACCATCAGTTGTGGAACTCTGTGCTGGCTGCTGAAGATAAGGAAGGAGCACACATGGGAATGCCTTGAGTGCTGTGATGTCAACTCTTGACTCAACTCAATTCAACCCTCCTTGGTAATTTTTCTTCTTCTTCCCGTTCATCGGCTGTAAACACCGGCGGAAAGTTCTGGTTCGTCATCCACCTCTGGACTTTAGTCTTGCTCCAGAACCTGAGTGTTGTGGGCACATCCGTTTTACAGATCTGATTTATTTGTATGCAGACTGGTTGTTTCCTTGCCTCTCAGGTAGATGCCCTCTGACTTAGAAGGAAACCGCCAATTAGTCAACACCTATGACATGCTTGCTGGGGAGGCAGTGGGTCTATTCATGTCTTCAACACAAAGGGTTCATGCCAACCATATGGAGTGCTTGGTAATTCCATCTGACATTCCTGCTACATGACAGTGTTTCTATGCCATGTAGCGTCCGATTAAAAAATGGGTGTAACAATGAAATGTAAAAATCTGTAAATCTATTTCTATATTTACTGAATAAAATACCGGCTTTCTGTCATTTTTTGTATACTTCTTCCTCTTGCTGTACGTGCTGTGTGGCGTTTGTAGTCATGTTTATGCACAACCTTCTGTCTCCTGTTTTTAATTTATAGTCCACACCATGTGCAGTTGGTAGTCATGTCTATCCACAACCTTCATTTTCCTGTCTTCTTCTTATAGCCCGTGCTGTGTGGTGTTGGTAGTCATGTCTATCCACAACCTTCTTTCTCCTGTCTTCTTCTTATAGTTCATGCCGTGTGGTGTTGGTAGTCATGTCTATCCATAACCTTCTTTCTCCTGTCTTCTTCTTATAGTCCATGCCGTGTGGTGTTGGTAGTTATGTCTATCCACAACCTTCATTTTCCTGTCTTCTTCTTATAGTCCATGTTGTGTGGTCTTGGTAGTCATGTCTATCCACAACCTTCTTTCTCCTGTCTTCTTCTTATAGCCCGTGCCGTGTGGTGTTGGTAGTCATGTCTATCCACCTTCTTTCTCCTGTCTTCTTCTTATAGCCCGTGCCGTGTGGTGTTGGTAGTCATGTCTATCCACAACCTTCTTTCTCCTGTCTTCTTCTTATAGTCCATGCTTTGTGGTGTTGGTAGTCATGTCTATCCACAACCTTCTTTCTCCTGTCTTCTTCTTATAGTCCATGCTTTGTGGTGTTGGTAGTCATGTCTATCCACAACCTTCATTTTCCTGTCTTCTTCTTATAGTCCATGCTTTGTGGTGTTGGTAGTCATGTCTATCCACGACCTTCTTTCTCCTGTCTTCTTCTTATAGTCCATGCTGTGTGGTGTTGGTAGTCATGTCTATCCACAACCTTCCTTTTCCTGTCTTCTTCTGATAGTCTGTGCTGTGTGGTGTTGGTAGTCATGTCTATCCACGACCTTCTTTCTCCTGTCTTCTTCTGATAGTCCATGCTGTGTGGTGTTGGTAGTCATGTCTATCCACGACCTTCTTTCTCCTGTCTTCTTCTGATAGTCCATGCTGTGTGGTGTTGGTAGTCATGTCTATCCACAACCTTCATTTTCCTTTCTTCTTCTTATAGCCCGTACTGTGTGGTGTTGGTAGTTATGTCTATCCACAACCTTCTTTCTCCTGTCTTCTTCTGATAGTCCATGTTGTGTGGTCTTGGTAGTCATGTCTATCCACAACCTTCTTTCTCCTGTCTTCTTCTTATAGTCCATGCTGTGTGGTATTGGTAGTCATGTCTATCCACCTTCTTTCTCCTGTCTTCTTCTTATAGTCCATGCTGTGTGGTGTTGGTAGTCATGTCTATCCACAACCTTCTTTCTCCTGTCTTCTTCTTATAGTCCATGCTTTGTGGTGTTGGTAGTCATGTCTATCCACAACCTTCATTTTCCTGTCTTCTTCTTATAGTCCGTGCTTTGTGGTGTTGGTAGTCATGTCTATCCACAACCTTCATTTTCCTGTCTTCTTCTTATAGTCCGTGCTTTGTGGTGTTGGTAGTCATGTCTTTCCACAACCTTCTTTCTCCTGTCTTCTTCTTATAGCACGTGCTGTGTGGTATTGGAAGTCATGTCTATCCAGAACCTTCTGTCTCATGTACATTCAATCAGCTCTGACACAGATGATCTTTCATACCATGATGTCAGACTGTCCAGTATCTTCTCTCTTGGTCTCCTTCTGCCTCTTTTCCCCTTTAACTTTCCCATTGTCACAACGTACTCCTGTTTTCTCCTTTTCATGCCACGAACAAAGCATGTTGTTTCTTCCGATGAGGGTAGTCAGTAATCTTCGTGAGTCAATTTCTTTACAGACATTTTCATAACTCTTTTTTAATGTAGAGTATTCTCATCCTTCATTTACAAAACCCCATTTTTGCCAATGCATACAGTGCTACCACATCAGAAAGAGACAGTCTACATTTTTTTAATCATGTGATGAGAAGTAGAAAACTAGAGTACATCGTGACAGTAGGAAAGTTGGAGAGGAGGAGAGGCAGAGGGAGACCGAGAGAAAAGATTCTGGACAGTCTGACATCATGGCAAGCGAGATAACCTGTGTCAGAGTTGGCTGAAAGTACATGAGACAGAGGGTTGTGGATGGACATGACTACCATCATCAAACGGATTGGACTTTAAGAAGAAGAATTCAGTGCTCAGAAAAAAAAAATTTTAAGCGCTCTTGTAGCGTTTTTCAATCTCAAGTTACAAGTGCATTTAATAGCTATGGCTCACATGGCATTAAGGAAAGTCAGAGTTAATATTATTTGATCTGTCTTTTTCTTCTGTGTTCTTCCTGTAAAAATGTGGTTGGCACATCGTTCTGTGGTTTACAGCTCTATGCAACATCTGCTTCTTTTCTTCTTTTTCTTCTTCAGCATTCCGAGCCCTTGAGGTTCATTGCTGCAGATATCGCCCGCCTCCATTCATCTCTCTCTGGTTGGCCTTCTCTTTCCAGTTGGTGACACAAAGTGTTTGCAGGTCTGTCTGGACATTATCTCTCCATCGTCTTCTTGGTCTGCTTCGTGGTCTACGACCATTCATCTTCCTTGTGTATACAGTTTTTACTTCTCTATCATCTGACATTCTCTCAATATGCCCCAACCATTTCAGTCTATTAGCTCTCATGACGCCAGTGATCAGTGGTGATTTAAACAGATTATGAATTTTGTTGCTACTTCTTACTCTCCATGCCCCACTGTTTGCATCTTTGATGGATCCAAAGATTTGTCATAAGACTTTGTTTTCGAAAACCTCTAATAAGGCTTCATCTGTTTCAGTTGTGCTTTAAGTTTCATAGGCATATAAAACGACCAGTTTTATCAACATTTTATATTTTTTTTTATATCTTAAAATCTTTGTAAAACTTCATCTCGCCACAAAACAGATATCTGCATCTTTTGGCCCCCAAACATCCTATTTCAGAAAGAAAAAACATTTAGCCACTTTTTATTAGATGCTAGCAGAATAAAAGGCACTATTCAGTAGTCGAGAAGATCTTTTAAACCCTAAATCTTACTCAGGTCTTTTTTCCCCTAACAGTGGGCAACAGTACGCAGTATCACTTTTTTGTAGTGATAATGTAATGGACATTTTTGGGTGAGTGCAATACTTTTTTTTTTTTTTTTTAAACACTTTGTTCATTGATCATTTTACAGATCATCTTCATCACACTTCAGACATGACCATAAGTGCTCTGATCTCACCCTAAGTATGTCTCCAAGTGTTTTTAGGCTAACAACTCCCATTCTGTTCTGGCTGATATAACGACGGGCGGCTCCCACATGGTTTTAAACATTGTGTGGCTAGTACCAGCGCCATTTTTCTAGAAGAAAAAAAGCCCTGGTCTTATCAAATAAACAACATATGTCATATACTGGATACATAATGGTTAAAATATTACCAGGGTTGTCTCCCACAAATGCAGAAACAACACACTCAGGGTTGAATCCATAGCGAGAAACTAGGTAGCTAGAGATTTGTCCCTGCACAGAATCAATTAGAAATGTATTTGTTTATTACAATGTATTGAAGTCTAATACTTGATACCAAAACAATTTGAATGAGAGGAAAACAAAAATACAACAAGAAATGTCTTCTTCTTTCTTTTCTCTCCCATGTCATCACAGTTCCAAAATCACAACAAACAGGTCATCCCGTAGTTGCTCTATTCCTGTGCCAACAAAAACGACATAGAATGTCCAAAACTGTCTCTTGTGAGGAAACTGACTGAATCTCAGCAAATCTAATAGCACATCCACACATTAAATGCATAAGGCAGCTGTCAGAAGTACCAACACAAACAATCCCACACAAAAAATGCAGTTAATCGTCAATGGAAGCAGCAATTACAACAGATCAGTAATTGCACAAGTAATTAGTCACATAAGGCACCACCAGTTTTGGGGTAACAGGTCATTTGCCATTTTTTGAATCTGCAGCTAACAACACAAACCATGTTAGGCAGAGCTGAAAAGCATCTACCAATGGAGCATAAACCCTCAACCAAATGACTCCAGAGACTCAGTAGTAGACTTGTCCATGATTGCCTGGATATAAAGCCAGTTTCTGTGTGTGTGTGCGCAAAAAGTTAACACAACTGCTGTTAACTGCAACTGCTGATCTGTTCTTAACTACTACTTCCAGGAATGATGAACTTGCATTTGTAGTGTTGGACTGTTTGTGCTGGCACTTCTGCTGCTGCCTTATGTATGTACTTTACATTCATACTATGAACTTTGATAAATGACATAATATGCTTGAAAGATAAAATAAAACTGCCGTTAAGAAAGATGTATACTTGGAAGAGTCAAATGTAAGACAGGCCTACGTGCCCAATTTGTAACCCTTTGGAAATAAAGTCTGTTCATTTGTTCGTTCATTCATGTTCCTTAGTTGACTTCTGTTACATCAATTATAGCTTACTGTATTACTATTCATAGCTCCCTTACAAGTTCTGGTCATAAAGGGAAGAAAAACTGATGTACTGTGTTAGCTTTATTACAGAAAATGTATAGGATTTCTTTTTAAGAGCATGCTCTTCATAATTCTCTAATGCGGTATAATCTGAGATATCATGAATCTGGCTCAACATTGTTGTATGTAATACTGGAGGAAAAGGTCAAAGGCAAGACAGCAAGAGAGGGGCAACAATACAAGTGGGAAGACAACATCAAGAGATGGGTGGACAGCATTATGAGAGAGTATACAACCAAGACAAGAGACAAAGCATGTTGTAGATCCACTGCAGCCAACCTTCACCGTGCAGAAAGCATCATGATTGACTGAATGTATGTAACACACCTAAATTATCACCCAAATCTATCTAAATCTAATACAGCAACATCATCGCATGGGTTCCTTCCCATTTGATGGTCGGTCAACATACGTGGTCCTGACTACGAACACACCTTCCAATACTTATGAACAACCTTTTGAACTGTCCCAAACTGAGACAACAAATTCTTTTGCTAGCAAACATATACTGCAACCATGTTTCACCTGTACTTCTTCTTCTTCTGCCTTTTTATCCCCCAATGGAGCATAGGCCCTCAACCAATTCACGCCAAGTCGTTCTATCCTTCGCCATTACATGGAGCTCTCCCCATGTCTTCCCCATTTTTCTAACTTCATTCTCCAGCTCTCTTCTCCGTGTGTTTTTTGGCCTTCCTTTATTCCTATGCCCCTGTGGGTTCCAATATAAAAACGTTCTAGTTATGCTGTTCTCCTGTTTTCTCAGTGTGTGTCCTATCCAACGCCAGCATCTTTTCTTCACCTCATGGTCCACTGGAGTTCTCTCCCAAAGCTCTACATTAGTTATTCTATCATACCATATAACACTTTGCTGACAAACTTCAGCGATTGTCGAATTTCCGGTTGTATCCCCTGTTGACCAACTTCGACAATCATCGAATTCGCGACAAGGTAGTCTGCCGACTGATGTCCCTACCAATAGTTTTTTAATTAAACTGCATCCCGGTGTTTTTA